TCGGGCGGGGAGACTTCCCAGTGAGACACCCGGCCAGCAGCCCTGCACGTTTCTGAGGCAGGAGTCTACCCCACCCTTGCACAGGCTGCAGGGCCATGTGCTCTGTGAATAAGAGCCTGAGGGGAGACGCTTTGTGCACTGCCTGTTCTTGAAACAGACAGCTCCCATTGGCCAGAAACTGACTAATGGGATTGTGCTGGGGGCGGGAGCAGCTCATAAAGCACTACTCCCCCCAGTTTGTGAAAAACAAACAACCCAGAAGCCGCTTTTCTGAGCAGCATGTGGGGGCAGGGCAAGGAGGGGAGTCTGCCTGAGGCTCCTTGCTGTGTATGCAGGCCCGATCCAGTGACTCAGCAGGACAGATATGGCCTGCCCTAGGAGGTAGCCATCAGCCCCCAGGGAATGGGCAGGGGTTTTGCTCACCTGGGTATGTCCTCTTCCCCCATCATCTCCTTGGGTATGGGGGAGTAGCGCCGGGGAGAGGTGGGGGTCATGGCTTGTGGGTAGTCAGTCCCCAGGTAACTCTGGTGGCTGATTTCATTGTCCAGGTGCTGGGAGTACGCTGTGGTGGGGAGTGATAAGGTGCGGTGTTAACACCTCAGATGAAGCCACCTTTGGTGCAGGAACCTGCCCAGCTCCTTGCAGTACAGCATCCCAGGGGTGGGTGGGCAAGAGGCGGCGAGTGGGCTAGATCCAGCCTGCCAAGCCACTAGATCCAGCTCACGGCTGCCTCGCTGAGACCCTTAAGCACAGTCAAGCTGCAGCCACTTTAAAGGCGTCTGTTCTATGCTTTGGATGCTGAGGGAGCAAGGAGGGAGGCTTTGTGTGCTGTCCTGCCCCCCAACAAAATCTCTCAGCTCCATTGGCCAGTTCCTGGCTAATAGGAGTTGAAAAACGTTGCTGGAGGTAGGGGCAGTCATTGAAGTGTCCTCCCATCCCAACCCTGCCCAGAGCAGAGCCATGTGGAGCAGCCTGCGACTGCAGCTCAGGTTCCTGCAGGGCTTCTGGTTGGAAGCCACCTAAGTAAGCTCCCCCCAGCCAGAGCCTGCCTCTGGCACTCACTCCCTCTTCCCCCCCAGACTACCTGCCCCAGTCCACCACACAAACCCTCTGCACCCCCTTCTCCCAGTTCACAAGTCCCTCCCAGACACTGTACCCCCTCCTACAGCCCTCCCTCAGGACAGAATCCTCCACCTGGACCCTGCCCCAGATTACAATCCCCTTCTTCACCCAAGCCCCCTCTCAGACTCCACACCCCTACTTGCAAGGGGAGAGCGCCCCCTGCTGAGCCCCCACCCCACTCCCTGCCCTACAGCGCCCCCTAGCGCCCTCCTGGGGCCAGCCCTGTCTGGCAGGGGAGAACACTCCTGGTAGCTCTCACAGGTGGTGATGTCGGGCGGGGCATAGGAGTCATTGAGGTACATGTTCGTGGGTTTCGCCACTTTCAGGTAGACGACATCATACGTGTTCTTCAGCGCGGCCACTGCATCCTCATGCATCACGTCCTCCAGGCTGACATTGTTTACCTGTGAGGCAGGGCAGTGAGGACGCAAGGTCAGACCCATCTACTCTCCATGCCCTGACTGGCCTGCTGGCTTTGGAAATATCCAGTGGCAGGGAGTCTCACAGGAAAATTCTGTCCTGGGGACACCCTCAACCAGCTCAGCACTCCTCACTCCACCAATAAGTGCCTCCCATTCAGTATCCTACCCTCAGGTAGGCCCCGCCCACTTAGATACCTCCTCTCTGCTGAGCCCCTCCCACTCAATCAAGTTCCTCCCTCTGCTTATTCCATCCCACTCTGCTAAGCCCCTCCTCCCTCAGCTCCTTCCCTTCCATCAGGCCCTGTCCAGCTCACTTCACTCAGTGATGCCCCTCTCACTTAGCTTTTTCTCACACGTAGGCCGCTCCCCCTCCAATAAGCCCCTCCCCTCTCCGCACCCTCCCTCCAGGGCCCCACCCCCAGGGTCTCCATTAACCTCTGCCTGGTTGGGGGGGACGACTCACCGCGAGGATCTTGTCCCCAATCTGGAGGCGTCCATCCTTGTGAGCAGCCCCCCCCTCGATGATCTTGGTGACGTAGATGCTGTTGTCCCCGGGGATATGCTGGTTGCCCACACCCCCTGCGATGCTGAATCCCAGACCTCCCAGCCCCCCACACAACCCCTCTGCACCCCCTTCTCCCAGTTCACAAGTCCCTCCCAGACACTGTACCCCCTCCTAGATGATCTTGGTGACGTAGATGCTGTTGTCCCCGGGGATATGCTGGTTGCCCACACCCCCTGCGATGCTGAATCCCAGACCTTCAGTGCATGGGGGGGGAAAAGGGATTCAGAGAGGGAGATTTGCTGGGGGGAAGGAGCAAGTGGATTTGGGGAGAGGCAGAAAGAAAGGTGGGGGGAGATCTGGGTGACCCCTGTGGGGAGATGATGGGGTTCGGAGGAATGTCAGGAAAGAAATGAGGGACCTCTGCATTCATGAGAGGGAGTGTCCGTGGGAAAACTGGGGGCTGTCAGGGTAGCATAGAGTGTATGGTGGGGCCCACTAGGGAGGGGAGTTCAGGGGGACCTCTAGCTCTGGGGTGAGTTGGTCCAAGACAGGTATCCAGGTGGGGGGGGTCTCTCAATGTGGGGAAGCAGGAGTCATTAAGGGGTTTGCTTTGAGGGTGCCTCAGAAGGGGAGCGGGATGTGTGTATGCACAATGGAGTCCCTGGTTCTGGGGAGGCCCCTGAGGATAGCAGCAGGAGGGAGTCTGGAGGATGCCTGGGCTATAGGGGTGACTGGTGGGACAGGAGATGAATGTGACCCACCGTTATGGGTGTCTCTCCAAGGAAGACGGGGGCTGTACTGACATCCCCAGCCATGAGAGGTCTCTCTGAGGAAGGGTCTTTCCACGAAACTTGGGGGGGGGGGCTTTCTGGTGTATCCCAGCCCTGGGGAGCTTCAGAGGGCTGTTTGGGATATGGGGATGTCCCAAGATGGTTTAAAGGGGCTCCCCAGCCGCCTCTGACCTTTTGGCCCCTTGATGAGCTTCACCTCCATGACCTTTTCAGCCAGGGCCTTGCGCCGCATGACATAGAGACGCACAATGGAGCCAGCTTCCTTCAGCGCCTCCACCGCCGTGCTGTGCGTCACCTCCCGCACATCCACATCGTTCACAAACAGGATGCTATCGTTCACCCTGGCACACAGAAACAAGGTGAACTCAGGAGCTGAGGTGGTCATGGCACAAACTGGGGCACAGGTGGGAGAGTACAAGCATGCAACATGTGTACTGCAAGTCACTGTGTGACAAGTGCACCAAGAGTGCACGTGCAAGGAGGGATTGTACAATGAGCTACTGGGAGCATTTGCCATGGAGGACTGTGCAACAGGGGAGAAAAGAATGACTGTGCAAGGAGCACCTTGTGTGTGTGTCAGGAGTGACTGGGGTACTGAGTGTGCAAAGAATGACTGTACAGCAAGTGATTGTGCAATGAGTGCTTGTGAGCCTCTGCAATGAGCGCTTGTGCAATGAGCTGTTGTGAGTGTCTACAATGAGTGATTGTGTAATGAGTGAGCCATGAACAATTGTGGCCTCATGCAATGAGTGACTGTGCATGAACGCCATGAAGTGGGGAATGAGTGTGCAAAAGGTGACTATACAGTTAGCAAGTGTGTGATGGGTGTTTGTGTAACGAGTGCGCAATGAATGATAGTGCAAAATGATTGTATGTTCCATGAGATGAGCGTGCAATAAGCTGTTGTACAGCAGATGACTGTGAGCATGTGCCATGAGTGACTAAGATGAGTGAGCACTGAGAAACAGTGCAATGAATAATTGTGAGTGGTGCCCCAAGAGTCTGAGTAGAGTGTGCAATGACCAACAGGTAATGAAAGATTGTGCAACAAATTATTGTGAGCATCAGCAATGAGTGACTCTGTAAGGAATGACAAAGGACAGTCCAAAATGAGTAAATGAGCAAAGAACAAGTGTGAGCACCTACTAGGACCACTGTGATCATGGGCAATGAGTGTGAGATGATTGATCATGTAATGCATTGTTATGAACATCTGCAATGAGTGATTGCACAATTGTAGGTGTGTGCTGTGAGCAACTTTGTAACGAGTGTGCAATGAGGGCTGGTGCTTGTGCAGTGAGGGATTGCTGATTCTCTGCAATGCTAACATTTGCCATGAGTGCTGATGTAATCAGTGTGCAAGGAGTGACTATGCAATGACAGATTGTGTAGCAAAGGACTGTGAGAGTCTGCAATGAGCAAGTGTGCTACGAGGGATTGTGAGCATGTGCCACCAGTGATTCTGCAATGAAGGATTGTGTAGAGAGCAACTGTGTGCATTTACAAATGAGCAATTGTGCACTGAGAAATTGTGAGCATCTGCTATAAGTGAGTTTGGGGTGAGTGACTGTGCAATAAACAATGGTGAGTATGTGCCATAAACAGTTAATTGTTCAATGAGTGACTGTAAGCATGTGTAAAGAGTGTGGGATGTGCAACAAATGCTTGTGTGCCTGCCATGAGTGACTGTTTAATAAGTGTGCAATAAGCAAGTGTGCAACAGACTGTGTGCAATGTGTGATTGTGCTACAAGTCACTGGGAGCACAAGCAATGAACAGCTGTGAGCATGCAAGGACCAATGTGCAAGAGGCAATTGTGATCTCATGCAAGGACTGATTGTGCAAGTCATTTTGAGCATGTGCAAAGAAAATTTAGCAAATCGGTTTGCATATGTGCAATTGTGAAAACGATTGTGCACATGTACTACCATTGTACATGTTGTTCTGAGCACAATGGAATGTGACTGTACAAGAGGTGGTGTGCATGTGTTCAGTAAACCACTGTGGGAGCAATAAGGTGTGTGTTTGTGTACATGTCCCAGGATTAGTACAAGTAGTGAAAACATTCAATGAAAGATTGTGTGAGCAAGTGTGCACTCGTTTGTGCACATGACCTTACATCAAGGGTGTGCAAAAGGGCCTCCGCTGGCTGGATCCAGCCCGTCAAGTGGGTTGATCCCACCTGTGGAGGCCCTGCCGCTCCCCCGTCCCCAGGCCAATTAGGGACTGGGGGCGGGGGGAGGCGCTCAAAGCTTCCTCCGCTCTGCCAGGAACATGCAGCGCTTTGAAGTGCCACTCGCTCCTGGCAGGGTGGGAGGAGGCTTTGCATGCTCCCCGCCCCCAGGACCTTATTGGCTTGGGGGTGGGGGAGCACAGGAAGTCTCCTCCCACCGCCATGGGCATGGTGCTTAGTGGGAAGGGGAGGGCTAAAGGGGCTCCTCCACCCCCAGATCAATCATGGTCTGTGGATGGGGAAGCCTGAAGCATCCCAGCCCCACTCCTTCCTTTTGAGGCCCTGCCCCTTCCGGTGCGGCCTGGGAACACTTCAAACATTTTTTAAGCGGCCCCCAGCAAAATATTATTGCCCACCCCTGCCTTACATACTGAGTGTACAGGCTCACAATCACTTACATAATTGCTCATTGCCTCCCCCCCATTGCCTAGCTCTGACCCTCTCCCCCCCCGACGAGTACCTGAGCCGGCCATCCTGAGCCGCTGCTCCCCCTGGGATGATTTTGGTGATGAAGATGCTGGGGTCATCCCCAATGTGGGGGTTGTCCGTCCCCCCAGCAATGCTGAACCCCAGCCCGGAATTACCCTGCAGGAGACACCCCCAAAACCTGTCAGTCCCTCAGTCTGGGCTAGGAGGGGATGCGGGTCGGGAGTGAGGGGCACCAGCAGTGCTGGAGGGATCCCAGGGCCGGACTGGCAGGGGCAGTAAGTTGGGAGTGAGGGGCACCAGCAAAACTGCAGGGAGCCCAGAACTGGGCTGGCAGGGGCTGTGGGTTGGGAGTGAGGGTCACCAACAGCACTGGGGGGGAAGCCCAGGGCTGAGCTGGGGCTGCAGGTCAGGCAGGGCTGGGGGAACACAGGGCTGGGCTAGCAGGGGCTGCAGGTCAGGAGTGAAGGCCGCCAGCACAGATGGGGAAGAACAAGGCGGTGTCTGCCTCTGGGCTGCGTTACACTGAAATTCACCCACAAGAAGACGGAACCGCGGAGCCTCACCCGTTCCAACGTGATTTCTTCATATTCCATCTCCCCTTCTGTCCCGTTTACCTAGATGTAAAGAGGCGAGGGAGAGGCATGTGAGAAGAGGGCCCCACATGGCAGAACAAAGGACAAAGCACAAAAGGATGAATGGAGAGAAAGAAAAGAACCGACAAACACAAGAGAGATGAAGGAATAAACGCAAAGCTTCAATGAAAAGATAGAATAAAAGAAAGAACCCAAGAGAGACCCAGATTTATTTGCCTGTATCACACAAGATCTAAGGTCATCCCCTAGATTAACCTCCCAGGGGGGCTCTGTGGGGATCTTCTGCCACACAGAGCCCCCCTGCAACCTGGAAAATGGAGTGAAAACTCCAGACAGGAGTCTCTGCTCAGCAAAAGTGGGGCCGGAGGTGAATTTGGGGTGGATGTTTCAAGGGGGTCAGATGGAGGGCTGGGGGGGTGGAGAAGTTTTGGGGAAGGGAAAGATTGGGGAGAGTTTGGGGTGGGCAGGGGGAAGGTTGGGGAATTGGGGTGACTTGGGGAGAGCGGAAGATGTGGGGGGATTTGGGGAGATGGCTCTCAGTGATCAACGTACATCTGGGAAGAAGTTGCATCCATTTAGAAATGAGGTGCCCCCCCACAGCTCTCCAAGACCCTCTGCCCCCCCCACACACACATTTGGCTACTCACATATGCTGGTGCCTCCAGTGTGTCCGTATTGACGATGACAGGAGGAGAATTCGCCTACAGAGAAGGAGGAGGAGACAAAAACAGGTGACCCCAGTATGAAACTGGAGGCAGCTAAGCAACTTGCCCATTGCACCACCCCGGGATGGACCATCAGCCCCATGAAATAACAGCTCTCCCCATGGAGGTAAGATACCCGTGGACAGGAATGCAAGTCTTCCCTCCTCCCCACCCCCACTTGGCCTTCTATTCACAGTGAGCCAGCACTTCCTGTCCCCCAAAAATGGCTGGGTGAAACATGGGAGCCTTTGGGCAGAGAAGGAAGATTCCCCCAAATTTATGCTGAGTCCCAAAAGTAGCCTCACACCTGCAGGGCTGGAGTCCCCATGGCAGATGGTGGCAGCACCCCAGCATGTCCAACCAAACTCTGAAAGAGACCCAGTCTCCCCAATAATGAAACCCATTGAGCCCCCAAAATGGGACCCTCTTAAATGTCACCCCCAAAACGATACAGCAGCACAAAAGCAACACCCCCAAAATTCATGTGACCCTCCTGCATATGTCTCTGCCAAAGCATCACCCCAAATATTCACCTAAACTCCTAAACCAGCACCCTAGCAGCACCCCAAATTCCACGACACTAAACTGACAACCTCAAGACACCCGCTAATGCCCCAAACTCGACACCAGCTACACTTCAAGCTAAAATTCAAACATTGCATTTCATCCCATAGCAGTAGGTCTGGACTGAGGGGCACTGTCTGGACTGAGGGGCAGGGCTGGGCTAGCACTATCACTCTGTATAAAGGATCACCTCACCCCAGAGGTGTCTGCATCTCGGTCCAAGGGAGGGGGAAATGGCCACTTTTGTTCCTTAGCGACTTTCCCAGCGTCCCCCGCCCTGCTGTCTGCCTCGGCAACGGTAACCATGGTGATGGCAGGGAACTGGGACCAAGTACCGCAGGGGGAGGCCGTTGTCCTGGCAACAAAGGGAACTGCTACAGTTCCTGATGCTCTGGTCTGGTGGTTGTGTCCACTGATCAAAAAGGCCAGTTTTTCAGGGGAGGGAAGGATAGAGCACAAGGCTCATCCCCTCTAGAGGGCGCTGGATCCCACCCACCCCAGAGCAGAGACTGGCCAACTTGCAGATTGCCCTTCACTCCCAACCCACAGGCCCTGCTAGCCCAGCCCCGGATTTCCTGGTGCCAAAGTTTGGTCAGCTGCCAGCCCTCTGAGAGCCACCTTGCATCAACTG